GAAGTGTCTTGGTGACGTTTCGACAAAGTCCCATTTGTTATCTTCAGGCTGGTGTTTTCGGCTTTTTGCTTCTAAAAGCAATGCGTGATCGTAGCTGTTTCTTCCTTTTAACTGCTAGTGGAGGTATGAACTGATTGGATGTTAGCTTTGCTGTGTTCTGATTGGGTGAAGGTGTGTTCTGATTGGTTAGGGGCTTGGCTGTGCTCTGATTGGATGGGGGGTTGGCTATGCTCTGATTGGATGGGGGAGTGTTCTGTTTGGGTGAGGGCTTTGTTGTGCTTGGGTTAGTCTGAGTTGCAGGGAGATTTGAGATGGTGAGCTGCATTGCCGTTGTTTGACTTCGCATTCGTGGTCGTGCCTCATCTTCATGGTGGGTGTCAGTTTGCTTCATGTATGGATTGGAGGGGTTTAAAGTGGCTAATGATGCAGCTGTGGTCTGGCTTCTGGTTTGTGGTCGTGCCTCATCATCGGTGTGGCTTTGGGTTTGCTTTTTGCGTGGATGTGTGCATGGGATTTCATATACTCCTTGATTTTCTAACTCAATTTTGTCTTTGGGGTTTTTTAGGATGGTGGATATTTTTCTGTTTGTGTAGAATGCTGTCTTGATGTTGTGTTTATGGAGGATCTTGCTGATTCTGTCTGTGGTGCCTTTTATGTATGGGAGGAGGGCTTTGTCATTTTCTTGTTCTCTGTCTTGGATTTTAGTGGGGGTTTCTTTTTGGATTAGTTTGGTAATCTTATTTCTTTGGAATCCATTGGATGTTAGTACATTAGTGAGAGTGTGTAGTTCGGTTTTTAGGTGTTGTTCATTAGCTAAGCGTTTTGTTCTGGAGATGAGTGTCTTGGCTATGGAGATCTGTGCTGGGTGGTGGTGTGAGAGAGCGTGCAGATAGCGGTTTGTGTGTGTAGATGGTGTGTCCTAGGGAGCCATTGGATTTCTTGTAGACTAAGACATCCAGGAAGGGAAGTTGGTTATTAGCTTCTGTTTCCATAGTGAACTATATTTTGGGGTGTAGGCTGTTGAGGTGTGTGAGGAAGTTGTCCAGTTTTTCTTTCCCATGTGGCCAGATTATGAAGGTGTCTATATCTGAGCCAGAGTTTGGGTTTGTGATCCGATTTTTCTGGAGCTTGGGTTTCAAAGTGTTCCATGTAGAGGTTTGCAATGACAGGTGAGAGGGTGATCCCTTGGGTCCTCCTTCTATTTGTTTGTATTTTTGTCCGTTATAGATGAAGTTGGATAAGCAGTGGTTGGTCAGATCTAGGATGTGTTTGGGGGAGTTATATTTGTTTTGGATAGCTGTCAAGGCTTCTTTGATTGGCACTTGGGTGAAGAGGGATATGACATCGAAGGTCACGAGTAGGTCACTGGGCTGTAAGTTTTGTTTCTTTATGATCTGTATGAAATGGAATGAGTTTTTTACATAGGGCTGTAGTTGTCTGGCGAGAAATTTGGCTAGGTTTTGTAGAGGTGAGCCTGTGGAGCTGACTGTGGGTCTAAGTGGGGTTCCTTCTTTGTGTATCTTGGGGAGACCATAGAGCTTAGGGCATCTGGATGATTTCTCTCTGGGAATGATTCTTTGCTGGATCTCTTCGCTAATGGGGGAGACATTTTTTTGGATCTGGTGGTTTTTTTCCAGGTAGGTGGTGGGATCTGTGTTTAGGGGTTTGTATGTGGAGTCTTGGAGTAGGTTGGTTAATTTGGTTTGGTAGTCAGATGTGTTCATAACCACCGTGGCATTGCCTTTGTCTGCTTGTAGGATTATTATGCTGGTGTCTTCTTTCAGGTTAAGTAGTGCTGTCTGTTCGTCTTTGGTTAAGTTACTTTTGGGTGGCTTGCTGGTGCAGAGGATGTTGGTGATTTCGAGTCTGATTCTGTGAGCGTCATCGGAGTTGATTTTGGTCAGGCTGGTTTCAACTCCGCATATAATGGTTTCAGTGGGGATGTGTTTGGGAGTGACTGCAAAGTTGAATCCTTTGGAAAGGACATTGGTTTCGGCTTTGGTGAGGATCCTATCTGAGATGTTATGCACTGTTTGTTTCACGTGTGGCTGTGAGGGAGGAGGGGTTTGTTTCTGGAGTTCTTGTAATCTTTGGAGTTTGTTGGTGTGTGTGTCTGTCTTGAGGGTGGTCTGTGTTTTGGCTCTCCAGATGACGAGTTGTTTGGATCAGAGCATAGCTAACCCCACATCCAATCAGAGCACAGCCAAGCCCCTAATCAATCAGAACACACCTCCACCCAATCAGAACACAGCCAAGCTCCCATCCAATCAGTTCATACCCCCACTAGCAATTAAAAGGAAGAAACAGCTACAATCACACATTGCTCCTAGAAGCAAGAAGCTGAAAACACCAGCCTGAAGATGACGAATGGGACTTCGTCGAAACGTTGCCAAGACACTTCCAATTTGACGCGGGAGAAAACCCGAATAACCAAAGACTACATACAAACACCCGCAAAAACCTGCTTCCCTCCATATAGATGTAGTACCATTAAGGACGACTCATTGAGTAGTTTGTCAGTCAGTTACAAATCATCTAGTGGTGATGCTGTCTAGCCCACATTTTTTCTGGCTTACCAAGAAGTAGATTGCGGTCTACTTTGTCTCCCAGTTTAATTTTGTTTCTATTTGGAAATTGCTTCTGGATTTTGTGCTTGCGATGGAAAAAATATATAAAACTTTGATTTTGTTTTTGCTGATTAGATAGGTTTGTTGCTATAGAAATGGCTAGTATATACTGTTGTGTAAAAATAAAAAATTGAGGTTGTAATTTTGTTATCTTCTATGCTAAAGAGAATTGGAAGTCAATGCCTTTTTCTTTCTTTTTCCCTCTTTACTCCATATTTTCTCTTTTTTCCCTCCTCCACAGTTTTCTATTTTTTTAAATTTCTCTTTGTATTTTATGCTTTGATAAATTAATAAAAATATATTACGAAGGACCTGGTGATTTAAATTCATCTAGAGTGAATAGATATTGTCTTATCATTTTTTGCCTATTTTGACATATTCCCTTTCTGTATACATCACTTTATTATTTTGACTTGTATTCCCTTTCTATATACAAGTCAAGTACTGCTTTTGATGGATTTGAGTATTTTTTTCCATTTTGTGTAAAGATATATGCAAAGAATGAATTAAGCAGTTCCATTTTCTCTCTGCTGCCCATCACCTCCTTGTCATCTTCTGTAAACTGATGGAATGCTACTACAACAGTAGACCTAACAAGAGGGGATATATGCAATGTATGAGGGAACTATGAATGGATAGAAGACCTGCATCTACACTAACTCTGAAAACAGCTAGTTACTCAATGCTTCAACATAATGAAGAGGAAGCAGCTCTCACAACCTGAGATAAAGCAATTACACATCCAAGACTCAAGAAGACACAGAAGAACAAGTGGATGTGCAGCCAACACTTGAAGCTAGAATGTCACTGCTAAAAAGTCTGTGAATGCTTGGCACTACACATAGTCAACAGGACACTAAGAACCTTCCTCAAGAAATACAGTGGGACTGTGGAAGACAAGACTGGCAGTTAACTCAAGCTAGCTCACACAGGGCCACCAAGTGGAGTTTATATCAAGGTAATGCATGCAGATCTGAAGCCCCTCAGGCAGATAATCTCAAGGTCTGGATATGAATACAAGTTCAAAACTGGAACTAATATCAGCTATCTCCTCTATATAGATGACATTAAGCTATATGCTAAAAATGAATGAGACATCGACTCTTTGATCCACTTGGCATATCTACTGTAAGGATATTGGGATGTTGTTCAGACTGAAAATGTGTAGCCGGATGGTAGTCAAGAGAGGGAAGATAATTAAGACTGATGGGATGGAACTATCAGCAGATGACCTAGCAGACATACAGAGAAACTACAAATACCTTGGCATCCTATAATTACATGAGAGTCACAATGAGAAGACAAGGAGGACAGCAACATCCAAGTGCTATCAAAGGATGACAGGTCCTGAAGAGCCAGTTCAATGGGAAGAACAAGATCCATACAATGAACACATCTGCTCTGCCAGTCATCAGATGCGATGTTGGTATAGTGAATTGGCCAAATGAGGTTATGGAAGCTACTGATGTGAAGACCCCAAAGCTCTTGACAATGTAGAGAAGTTTCCTCTCCCAAGCCCAACACCCAGAGACTACACACACCAGAAAGAAGGAAGGCTAAGTCTGGTGAGTGTCAAAACCATTGCCCTGCATGAAACTCAGAGCATCCAAGAGTACATCAATAAGATGGCATTCAAAGATGAGCTGCTGAGTGAAGCAACAGACATAGTGGAAGATCAAACAAAGGAAGTGCCATAGCAAGGCAAAACCCTGCATGTATGTACCGTCAATAGATAGCAGAGATGGCAAAAATCTTAACCATAACTGGAAAAGATTTAACTGAAAGATAGCACCAAGGCACTGATCCTAAAAACAAAAGTCTACCTCTCTAGACAGGATCCAAGGTATAGATTATGCAGAGAGGTCTCAGAGACAGTCCACCATATAGTGGTAATGTGTAAGATGCAGGCAGGAACAGCATACACTGAACTGCAGAACCAAGCATTGCGTATGGGAACATCTGCACACAATGTATGGGCTAGACTATCCTAAGTCCAGATGGAAGATTCCAGAGAAGGTTACGGGGAATAAGTGGATAAAATCCTGTGCGACTTCCAGATCTAGATGGACAGGTAGGTATTGGGCAATCAACAAGACATTGTGGTAGTAGACAAGGACCACAAGAAGTGGTGGTGATAGATATAGCAGAGGAACTGGAGATGATGTGGAAAGTAAAGGCCTAAGTGATCCCAGTGATGAGAGGAGCACTCAGAGCTACGAAACTGGCAGAAGTAGTTAAATTGTTCAGCCTATTACAAATTTTCTTATTTATGTGTCTGTGATGTAAATATTCCAAAGATAAAATATTTAATGTTTCCAGGATTATTTTTACATCTCAAACTGCATAACTTTTTTTTTTTTTTTTTTTGGACAGCAAGGAAATATTTTCATTGTGGACTATGAACTTCTAGATGATGTTGAAGTCAATAAGACAGATCCCTGCACAATACAGTATTTGGCTGCTCCTATCTGTTTATTGTATAAAAATTTAGAGAATAAAATTCTCCCTATTGCAATTCAGGTAATTTTGGTTTTATCCAATTAAAATAACATTTGGTTGTTATTGAAGATATTAACCATTCTATTAAACCTTTCAGATAAATCAAGCTCCTGAACAAAGCAATCCTATTTTCCTTCCATCTGATGCTAAGTATGATTGGTTATTAGCCAAAATATGGGTACGTTCTTCTGATTTCCATATTCATCAGACTGTGACTCATCTGCTTCGGACTCACTTAATTTCAGAAGTTTTTGCAGTGGCTATGTTCCGACAATTGCCTGCAGTCCATCCTCTCTTTAAGGTGGGTTATTAAATACTGGAATAAGATGTATTATTTTATAATCTATATTATAATAAGGCCAATTTGATATAATGGTTAAGGCAGCAGACTAAAAACACACACAGAGAGAAGGTATATGTACTGCTGTTCTTCTTAACTCTAAATCCAAGCACTCAAGGATTACAGTGACTGTGGCATATACCAGTTTACTGGTTTGAGTTATTATTGTACTGATAGTTTCAACTAGTCAGTTAGCGACTGTTCAATGTTATGATGGATCTACCTGGGGGTAATTATGACTTGGTTTTGAAATTCCAATGGCATTTGGCAATACAGCTGTATTTACAGCTGTTTGGAGCGTTCCACAGTTGTGTGACCATGTTTTATGATGGTTTTGCTGAAAACTGGCAGTTGCTTCCCTTTTTTTGGCAAAACCAGCCCATAGCAAAACATAGGTTCACCTAACAATCACAGTATTCACTTAACAAGGGTGCCACAAAAAAATCTTAAAATCAGGTCAGTCATATATACATTCAGTCACACCCCAGTTAACAACCACAGTGACTCAAGATTGACTCAAAGGTATATGTGTGTTGTGTGCGTGCGCTATGTGCCTATGGTGCGTGGTGACTACCTGGATAAATCCCTGTATTTTCTTGGGAGGCGGGGGGCTACAAACACACTGTATATGAGAAACTAAGCATAGCAAGGAGGGTTGATTCTGTAAGACCCAATAAACCATTAGCAATCCTCATTCAAAAAGCAAGTATGAAGTGATTGTTATTGCTGGAATGTTCTGTGATGTTTATAACTGGAAGGCTACTGTCAACACTGCTAATATTGAATATTCTTGCTTTGACAAAATATGCAGAACTGTCTGGTATTTTTAGAGTTAATTCAGATGACAGAGAAAAGGGAGGAGATAGTAAGGAAAGCCCGGGAAAATGAGCAGAAGTGAATCTTTGCCCTCCAAGTTAATTGGAAGATGTGAATCATGACTCCAAAATAGGGGAGGGGAAATGCCTGGAATGTTATGTGCAAAAGGAAGAAAAATTCAGATCTTGGCAGCTACATGAAAGATGGGGATGCTGCTTTGTACAGGAAGAAAATGTACACTTGCACAGATGTTCAAAAAGCAGAACATGGAAATCCTTTTGAAAATGTTTGGGTAAGAATCAAAGAGTCAGACTTGTATGTGGGATTTCAGAAAAGTGGATTTTGAAGAACTTGAGGGAAGATGTTGGAAATGGGTTCAAAAATTTCTTCCATAAGAAGAAAACTCTAAAAGATCTCCACTATGTTATATTTTATTCATTTTTTGAAACATAGTGTGCTTTATATGTCTATTTGCATTCGTTAGATTAAAACAAATCAAATCACTAAGAATAAATATTGCCCTCATTAAATCAAATCAAACTGATAAGAAAAATAATAGACAATTGATACATATGAGCTATACTCAGAAAAAGTATCATAACTTCGAACAGTCATTAAACAACTGGTCATAAGTCAAGGACTACTTGTATAATAAAGCTATTTTTAAAAGATAAATAGAAAGTAAGTTAAAATTAGAGAGCCTATATGTGAGTTCTAATCCCATTTTAGGCATGAAGTTTGTGCCAGAAATCAACACCAACTTGAATAAAACAAAATGAACTCTTGGCATAAATTAGTAAATCCCTTGAGAGTCAAACAATGTATATACGACAACAAATCTGTCATTTTTTCTTTCTAGGATATCCATCCCTGGAATCCTCCCTAATCTCTCTTTTAGTTTGGTTTGATTTAGGCAAAATCTAAACACAAATCTGACTTTGTTCAGTCACCTCTGCATGCATTATGATGAATTCTAGTAAGTCATAGTCACTCTTCGACAAAGTTTCTACAACTTCCACTCCTGCAACCATTTCATCCCTATTAGTTAGGATTAAATCCACTATAGCTGACCATCTACTTTTCTCCTCCACCTTTTGGGTGACAAGGTCAGAAACCTGTTCAATCTCTGTTGCATTGCAGTTGGTTTCCAAGTTGATGACAGAGTAGTTAAAGTCCCCTATTATTACACTGCGGTATTTCCTGCACATCTCGGCTAACTGATTAGCAAAGAATTTATCTATTTATTCTGCGTGGTACATGTAGTACACACCTATAGCAATGCCATTTCTTTTTTACTTTAATATCTTCCCAAATATATTCAAGAAGGCTTTCATCCCTAATGTTGTGTATGTAAGGAACCACTTCAATCCACATCTTAAGAAAGCAGAACTCTTGGAAACAATCTCTTCCAACAGGAACTTTTACTAAGAGAAATTGATAGCAGGCATGATAGACAGGATCTGAGGGATTCCCTCACAAATCGATGTTTTAAAGTGTCCCTAAGCAACCCCACCCCGCAGTTCTTCCGGGCGATTCAGACCAGCAGATTTTTAGGTGTTATATCCAGGAAAAGATAACATCAATCCGGCTCCATTGTGCACTATCATTCAACAGCTCCTCACACCTTATTTTGATGATGGAGAAATAAACCAGATCCTGGATGGCTGTATCTTTTCACCCCCCTTTTCCTAGCTGGCCAGTAAGGAGGAGAAGTTCAGAGGGGCATAGGATAAGAGGCAAATGGTTACATTGTAATGGTTAGCAGACCTGAAGGCGAATAAACAAAAGGTTACTTTGTAGTGAATAGAGGAAGTGAAAGTAATAAAACCTGCATGCATATCCCCCCTCCCCCTTGGGAGTATGGCAGGATCCAGGAAAGGGTAAGAATTGGTTTTAGATCAGAGAAGATAGATAGAAAGGAAATGTAACTGGATTCTAACAGTGTATTTCTGTAGAGATATAGTAATTATTTGCATACAAAACTACTGCGCCCCCTCTTTTTGAATTGGTTCTGGTTTTTCTTTTTTTTTCTTCTTTGAACAATTTATAACTTCTACCAGTATGTTCCAGTTATGGGATGGGTTCCATCCCATCAAATTTCGGTAATAGCAACACCATTGTGTCTGCCCTCATGTACTAAGACTGCAAGTTCTCCCTATTTGTTACTGAACTCTGAGCATTAGTATGTAAGTATTTGAGTTCTTTATGGCTCACCTTGCATTTGCTTCCTAGTTCTCCTGTTTTATTCCCTTCATTATTGGCTGCTTGGTTGTCTTGGGGTAGCCCTAAAGATTGATCTTGCTCCCCTTTCAATTTTAGTTTAAAGCTCTTTATATGAGCTACTTGTTTTCCAATCACACCCTTCCTGATCCTTGTAAGGTGCACCTATCTCTTGCCAGAAGACTTTCCTGTAGGTAATATAAACCAAAGTCCCAAAATCCAAGGTTCTCTTGGCCCCATTCCTTGAGCCAGCAGTTTATTTCTAGAATCCTTCATTCTCTGAGTGAATGTTGACCTTTTGTTGAAAGTACATGTGAAAATATCACCTGCGCCCCCAAATGTCTTACTTTGCTGCCTAATTACTCATACTCCCATTAAATTGTTGTTAAGGTTCCGACTAACAAACCCAACCAAGCAAACACCTTTGAGACTTTTTGTTCTCTTAATGTAAAACTTTATTGAGTAAATCATTTTGGCATGTATAAAAGTAAAACCAGCTCTGGCTAAGTCCCATCCAAGCCCCATATAGTAAAAGCATAGATTCTTTCTCCTCTCTCTGGATCAGGTCACATTGTCCAACTAAATGGGAAAATATTGTTATGAGAAAATGTTTCTGCATCTGGCCAGACACCTGCAAATTGTCCTTGGGTCTCACGGTCTTCTCTTTAATAATCCAAAATAATAATCCAACCAGAGTCTTAAACTTCAAAAGAGCTGAAGAGAGAACTTAGGAAGGATTCCATGGATGAAAATCCTAAACAGGAAAACAACTCAAGAAGTGTGGGAAACTCTGTCGGTTCATAACAAAGACTTGCAACAGAAGTCAAGGATAATAAAAAAAAGTTTCTTTCAACATATTAATAACAAGAAAAAAGTCAAGGAAACAGTAGGCCCACTAAAGAGAGAAGATGGCAAGGAAGTAACATGCAGTAGGGAAAAAGCAGAGCTGCTTAACTCATTCTTTGCATCAGTCTTCACACAAAAAGAAATTACAGCCCAATGTACCAAAAAACTACTGCAGAAGACAAACTAGAAAGAAAAATTTAAAAAAGCAGGAAAATGATAAGAGAACACCTATCCGACCTTGATGAATATAAATCACCAGGACCCAACAGATTATTTCCCAGAGTTCTGAAGAAGCTGGCAGATGTTATCTCAGAACTATTGTACCATATATTTCAAAAATCCTGGAGTACAGTTGATTGGATAAGGACTGATATGGTTCCCATCTTCAAGAAAGGGGGGGAAAAAAGACCCAGGAAACCACAGACCAATCAGTCTATCATCAATACCTGGGGAGATCCTGGAAAAGATAATAATAAAAAAAATCTGTTAACACCTAGATGCAAACTGGTTATAACCAGTAGCCAGCATGAGTTTGTCAAAAACAGATCATGCCAAACCAATCTTATTTCATTTTTTGATAATGTGACTAAATTAGCAGACCAGAGAAATGCTGTGTACATAGTATACTTAGGCTTCAGTAAGGTATTTGACAAAGTAGACCACAAACTGCTGCTTAGTAAGCTAGAAAAAAGTGGGATAGACAACAACACCATTAGATGGATCTGTAGCTGGCTGACAAACTGTAATCAATGAGTAGTCTTCAATGGTACCACATCCACATGGAGAGAAGTAAGCAGTGGGGTACTACAAGGCTCTGTCTTAGGCCCAGTACTCTTCAATATCTTCATTAATGACTTAGATGAGGGAATAGAATGGGAACTCATCAAATTTGCAGAAGACACCAAATTGGCAGCAATAGCCAACACCCCAGAAGACTAGCTCATCCAAAAAGATCTTGACAAACTTGAACAATGGGCACTATCCAACAAAATTAGTTTTAATGTGCAGAAAAATAAAGTTTTACATTTGGGCAGGAAAAATCAAAGCTATAAGTACAGATTAGGCGAGACCTGGCTCAA